TAGTATTTCTTGGACCCAGATGTCACGCAGGTAGCTGTAGCTGCCTCCGTGGTGATTTCAATAATTTTCTTGAAAACACAAGATCTATTTACTGAAACCACAAATGTGCGGCTGGATCCTGCTGGTGGCTCCGTGCATTTGTATTTCTTTCTTCTGGTAACCAAGTGTTGCCCATCCTTAGAGTAAGCTGCACCTGATAATGGGCCAAAAGCCCGAAACACGTATCTATGGTTTGCCACTTACCAGGTGTGTCAAATTCGATACTCACCATTCGGATCTCGGAAACTATGAAAAATACGAAGATGGTTAAATTGGGGCAAAGTTGCGCATTTACCTAACTAACAATATGCCGTTGAGAAAGTTCTGAAATTCCGAGTATATCCGGAGATATCTGGAGAAAACAGGCTTTATTTTTGGAAGTATTCGAAAATGCTTGTAAATCGCACTTCCACATTGCCACTTTTTCCCTGCTACATAATGCTCTTTTAAGATTTACTATCCAACGTTTCGTCTTCCGGCCACCATCATAAACTTTATTTCTCTTACGGGCCCTACATTGGATTCTTTCTGTTTTGAATAGAACCAGATTTTACCTTTTCAATGACGTATCATAAGTAACTATTCTTTTTCGAAAAATTGGAGATATTGAAAAATCAATTAATTCTTATCATAATAGGCTTTGACTTTGATGTTTGTAAATTTGCCTTTCAATTTGTTACACTCAATGACATTTTGTTATTGTACAAGTCATTGAATTTTTAGCGAAAAATGGCTTTCAAGAATGAAGAAAAAAGAGATATGATACAAATTTATTAGAAATACGATAGAAATAGTGTTATAGTTCGTTCAGTATTGTCTGAGAGTGAAAGAATTTCAAGAATGCAAACATGTCGCTACATCAAAGAAAGCAACATAGTCGTCTCAAGCAAATAGCACTGCAATTCACCCACAAAATTTGCAAGTTACTGGATCAAAATCTCACCGAGTTTGGTTCATTTGAAAAGCCAATGAAAAAATACTGATAAAGAATCAACAAGCAAAATTTGATAAATGAGGCGTGCATGAGATAATTAAGACATTGTGTCCTTTTCAATGAAAATATAACTTTGAGCAAATAACAATGATTAACTGAAATGTAGAGACAAAGGTGAATCATGCTCAAAATGCCGGACTTGATAACACAACTGTTCCCTTCTTCGAATATTATTCACTGCACGATTAATTTCCCTTCTCCTCAATCTTCCGAACTCTCTAACAATGCTGTGTTGAAGGTCCTCAATATTTTGATATTCCCTCTGACTATAAACTCTTTTTTTCAGTGTACCCCAGAAGAATGTATCCATAACACTTAAGTCTGGAGACCTTGCTGGGCACCTCACCGGCCCATTATTCCCTATCCATTTATCACCAAACCTTTCAGTCAGGTTATTGGATACTCGTATGATAGTGTGCGGTGGAGCACCATCATGTTGAAACCAGATGTTGTTATAATTAGCCAAAGGTAGATCATGCAAATAGTCATTGAAAACTGGTGACAGGTTTCTCCATTCAGAATTTCGTCAAATAATGAGGACCCAAAATTCTATCTTTGTAAATTCCTGCCCACACGTTAATACTGAATCGCACTTGAGATCGAATTTCTCGGAACTGCCTGGAGTTGTTTATGCTCCAAATGTGTTCGTTATTTCGGTTGAATATCTCACAATTTGTAAAAATGCTTTCATTTGTCCAAATTACATTTTCCAGAAAAACAGGAAAATCAGATCTTCCTATCAGCCACTTACAAAATTCTTATCGCCTTTCGGGCGATAAGAATTTTTTTTGAGATGTCTCCAAGAACTTGTATGACAAATATTCCTTTCGGAGGAAATTTAACATGTAGATTTTCCCGGGTTCATGTTCATATTTGTTACAAATTTGTATCATATCTCTTTTTTCTTCATTCGTGAAAGCCATTTTTCGCCAAAAATTCAATGATTTGTATTATAGCAAAATGTTATTGTGTGTAACAAATTTAGAAACATCAAAGTCAAAGCCTATTATGATAACAATAAATTTTTTTCAAAACCTTCAATTTTTCGAAAAAGAATGAAAATTATGATACATCTTTGTATCATAATCTGGTTCTATTCAAAACAGAAATATCCAATGAAGCGTCTATGAGAAAAAATAAAGTTGATGATGGTGCCCGTAAGACGAAACGTCGGATAGCAAATCTGAAAACACCATTATGTAGCAGGAAAAAAGTGGCAATGAAGATGTCCAATTTATATTCGAATCCTTCGAAAAATAAAGCCAAAAAAAATCCGAAATTTCAGTTTTTTTCGGATGTCTCCGGAAATACTCGAAATTTCAGAACTTTCTCGACAGCATATTGTTAGTCAGGTAAATATGCCCAACTCTGCCCCAATTTAACCATCTTCGTATCTCTCATAGTTTCTGAGATCCCAATGGTNTACAAATAAATTCAATTACCAATATTTTATATACATTATTTATACTATTATTATTTAAGAACATTAATATGAAAAGTACATTTAGAACAACTGCTGATTTTGATACCTTGCGATGTTGAAGAGCCTTGAACTATTTGAGTTGATATTTTATGCATTTAAAATCTGTTTAATCTCTGTTTTTCCGTCAATCAGCTGTCGCCTCCATACAAACGACAACTCTCAGAAGTTGAGAAACTTGTGCGAGCTAAGGACTAACGAGGTCTTACCTTTCAACATGTCATTCCTAACATGGTTGCAGAATCATCCCAGCTTCAACCAGATAAATTCTCTCGAGAAAAATATCTGGTCGAGGCGGCAATCGAACCCACGGCCTTCCGATCGTGAGTCGGGCGTACCTTCACCGAGGCCAACTCAACATAAACATTTAATAAGTGAAGAGGGCGTTGCTGTAACGCTGTTGGGATTATTCTGCCAACAATAACCTTTTTATAAGAAATAGATTGATCGATGTAACCCACAGCTACTGTTATAGACTACCATCCTCCGTACTTTTCAATATCCGTTATATTTGCTCCTGATTCTGTTAGCAAAAAAGCAGAAGGCCTTCCGAAACAGTGCCCTGTATATTCCTTTGGTTCCTGCAGGTTCAGAAACTAAGCAATGGTAGAGGGCATTTTCCCAAATGTGTTTATACCAACTGGGTTGGCACTGCATTTATAATTTGAGTATTTCAGAAAAAAACGTTGATGATTGATAACAGAAGGGCGTAATGCAACGTATTTATTAAAATAGTTTATGTTTTTTCTAACAATGCAAAAAGAACTACCTATTTTCGTTTTTGTATTTGTAATTTAAAAAATCAATGATTTATTCATTAATTTAATGTCTTCTATTAATGAATGGTACAGCTCTTCACGCCGACAGGCTCCATATATTCCGAAAATAGTAGCAACTTTTATTACCAAATATTTTCATCTGGACTTGTTCAAACGTGAGAGTTCTTGATTTTTTGGGCCTATAAGTATCATTTTTCTGCTTTAAGAATGCTATTAACTTCAAATATTCGCTTGTAATAACACCATTTTTAAAGAGTGCACTCGATTTTATCATCAAAAACTTGCTTCACGAAGTTGATGAGTTCCATATTTTTCGACGTTTTTAAGTCTACACTAGCTAAGAAAATTAGATTATGTGATGTCGTACTGTTGAGCCGATTTTTTTAGTAGCAATTCAATTGAAGCTCTTTTTGCAGCCTCTTAAGCCTCAGGAACACACAATTCATCACTATTATTCTTCATTATGCAAGACATTAAACACCAGCAAGAACTTTGGATGTTACTTTGAATAAAACGCGTGAGCTCTAAACAATACTGTTTGTTGGTAACCAGGCGATTTGGCGTCACCTGACACGGCCACTTCACAGCAAAGGCGATAACATGAAAATGGTTAACCGACAAGACATGTCAAAATGTGTTTTTATAAAAACATTGAATTTATCTATTTTATCATGAAAACAGGATAATTGTACAAAATACTTTGTATGATATTTGTGTTTAAAGTTTTATTTTGTTCGTGAAATTGCTTAACTCGACACGCTCGTTTCTCAAACTTTTTCATTCATAAAATAAAGCCTTACTTTTGACACTCATTTCATAAATATCCATCATTTGATTGTTTGAAATTGTTCATTTTTTTCCACAAAAATAACATGACAAGAATTTCAGTGGAAATTTGAGAAAAAATACTTTTTTCATATTGATTTGTCATTAACTTCCAACATCATTTCTTGATAGGTACTGTATCAAATTGAAAGAAGTAGGTTACGTGAAAAAAATAAATCGATGATCTCTCAATCGAGGTATCACCCAACTTCTAATCCTAATCCAGATTTGAAAGTTGGATGGCACCCAATGGAGGAGGTGGAATTTCTTAAATTGAAAATATGCTTGAAAGTTTTCTCCCTCAAAATGGAATTTTTTTTCTTAACGCCAAGTATGACAAATCAGTCTTGTTTCGGTTTTATTGGACCTCCATGTAAAAGATAAACGTTAGCACTTTGTCACTGAAAATGAAATTTGAGGCCATGGTAGTTATTGCCGTGTCGTGGAAAATAAATTGACTGAGTATTTGGCTACAAAAGTATTCAGTTCGTCACCTAACACAGTTCTAAAGTATATTGAGGGTTGATGCTATGAGAAAAAACATATTCCTCGTCACTGGTTTTTCATTCAAAATGATTTTTTCTTTTTCTAAATGAATGATTTACTGAATGAATGAAGTTATATGCAATAATTGGGTTATTGTTATATGTGAAATAATTATAAGGGTATTGTGACATCTTTACCATATGAAAGATTCCACTGAAAACACTTTTCCCTCATCAGATCAAAAATGCATTCTCTCTACGTGTGTTTCGCTAACAAAGTTATCATCTTCAGGGGACGTCTAAAACAAAGAGACATCATGTTTTCGAAAGATTCTTTTTTCGCCAAGGTTTCAAATGCTACTATCAGATATAAAAAATTATCAAAAAAAACAACTCACCAATTTTGGCTAGACTTGCACATAATATCCACAAAGCTATGATGAAGGGAGTTTCGACTCTGTTGAAGGAGACCGATATCACCGGGTACCTTGTCACGTGTTTCTTGTGGGGTTCTTCCTCAGCCGGGACAACTTCCTCCATGGAGGTGCTGATAATTTCCGCAGTCTCCGTAGACAAGGAATTCATCTCGGGTACTATAGGGGTTGGAATCTCCTGGTACAAGCTGTTGAGGTCGTAGGAATTCGTGTCCAGGTTCACGGAGGGCAGTCGCCTGCTGTCCGATGCATGATCCGGGGGCTTGCCGGAGCCGCTGCACAATCTTCCCAACAACAACATTACCAACACTATTCTGCATGCCCGCCTAGAGAGATTGACACTGTGTTCTAAAGAATACCTCATAGCATTTCGGTCTAGAGCCGCCGAATGACTGCCATTGGCAGCCTGTCGCAGGTAACGTGCACCTGCCAAGACTGGGCGTCCGATCCAGCTGATGGCGGAGCGTCGCGACGCTTTTATGGACGCACGCGCGCCGAATTTTACTGGAGTCGTTCAATTCTCCGGTTCGGTTTGTTTGCTTCGGATTCATTCGTGGGGATTTATCGTTTCGAGTTTTTACACAGAAGTTGCGTATATTTCATATATGCGAATGCAAAACTGGCAAACTGTTATGTATTCGTTCTTGATCATGCAATTCATTCTTTGAAATGAAGGATGTGAGGAAATAATTTTGAAGAAGAACATGCTACTACAATAGTATTGTAGGTTATAAGTCAGGTAGATGATTTATTACAGTACGAGTCGTTTTACGGACAAGGCGACCTATTATCCGGTCAATTTAAATATTCGAAGGTACAAAAATTCGCACCTAGCTCAACTTTGGTAGGATTGTTCAAATCACCATCATAAATGAAATCTGAAAAATCCTCATCGATCCGATACCTGAAAATAAATTTTCTCGGGGTCATAGGTCACAAAAACAGGCTTTTCGCGATTTTCAGCGAAACGGTAAGTTTTATCATGAAGCCTATTCCATGGATCTGTTGTGATTCTGTTTATTGAACTATTGAATAATAAAAGATATTTGCTTCTGTTTTCTGTTGCTCGTGTTCTTCTTCTTCTTGTTCTTACTCATCCTCGGTGCAAGTAAATTGCCTCAATTGTGATACATCTCATGTCTCCTCATTGGTATCAAACGAATACTCATAACAAATCACGGTTCATTTCAATGTTTGAATAAATGTTTGATGTTTGATGATGGTAATTGAAACAGCAATAATTCAACTTAACAAATACAACTATTGTTCAAATCATCTAAAGGAACAATTCGTTCAGGCCAGTCTCAACTCCCTGCACTGTAAGTTAATGGACTGACATCTATTAGAAAACAACTACTCCCCTGGCTAATACCACGAAAGGCGTTCGATTATATCCGACATGATATAATTTTATATCATATCAGTGCAGGATTCTTCACTGAAGTTATTCCTGCATATGTTCTTGGCAATACAACAGTGTAGGGAGTTGAGACTGGTCTGAACGAATTGTTCCTTTAGATGATTTGATTCACAGCCAGTCTTCAAGTATGCCGACTGACTATATGTGGAGACAACTATTGTTGTAGGTGAAGATGTAGACTTACTCGAATTACTCACTGCTCAAATTTTAATCGAAAAAACTTTTTTTTCAACCTGCTCAAATTTCAATCGAAAAAACTGTTTTTTCAACCTGGAAAAGGTCAACATCTATCGAAAAGTTCATCTACTTTTGTATCAATAAACAACGATCAGGGTTTAATTTTGCCTTTGGGTTACATTTTCCAAAGTGTCAAAATCTTGTACTATTTTTAGACGCAATATCTGGCTGTGTGTGATATGGCATCTGCATTTTTCGGGAGGGGTAAAACAATAGTTCCCAAATTTAAAAAAAAACATTCAGTTCAATATGCTGAAGTTTCAAAAAACAGTCATTCAACTCCACAAGAAGTTATCACCAACGGAATTTGCTTCCTTCTCTCTATGTATAAAGCTCCTTAAAAAACTACGTGCTTAGATGAGTTTCGATTTGAACGCTTCGTTAAAAATACTCGAAATAACAAGCAAGTGCAATTAGCTGGTCTTCCTCCAACCTCAGTGGCTACTCATCAACATCTTTTACTGGTATATTGATGGCTTGGTTATCAGCTAGAGCCAAAAGACTGGGGTTGGAAGTTGGTCGACTAAATATTAGAATCAGTTCAGACTTTACTCCCATCTGCGCCGGAAAAACTGCTGACCACAATTTTTTGCAACTGTAAAAAGGGATGTAGTGCTGAATGTGGTCGCATAAAATTTGAACTGTTTTGTTCTCTAGCATGTACGAATTGTTGAAGCAGATCGTGCTTCATTGTTGAAACACCAACAATTGAGGATGCGTTTGATACCAACGAGGAGACATGCGATGTATCACTATCAAGGCAATTATTTTGCACCAAGGAGAAGAAGGAGAACAAAAAAAACAAGAAAAGGAGGGAGTAGAAGTATTAATGAATTATGAATGAGACAAATGAATATCCCAATTTTTGTAGTTGAAAGACACGCCAGATGAAGCCATTGTATGGCGAAACACGTGTTGCGTTTTTGTAAAACAATTTAGTGAAAATCTCACAATAAAGTGTTTTTGGAATACGCCAATTTTTGTAATTAAACCGCTTTCATCATTTTCAACCCTTGCCAATATACTTTATTATCCAATGGTTTCAAATTGAACAGAAGCACAACAGATTCGTGAAATTGGCTTACCGGGAAAATCACGTCAAAAAAACGCACTAAATACAGAAACGGTGGCTCTTAGGGAAAAAATGTTTCAAAGATAATCATCTGATCTAGAATTTTTGTTCTAACTAATTTCGTGATTAAATTCACCGTTCTGCTGAACATCATGAAAAACCTTTTTTTGTGTCCTTTGACCTCCAGTAAATTTTTTTCCCGATATCGGATCGATGGGGATTTACCAGATTTCATTCATGATAGTGTTTTAAACAATTCTACCAATTCTCAACTGGGTGTAAATTTGTATACCGTCACTCATATATTTTGGTCTGATTCGATTGGATGAGTGGGGTTCGAATTCGGAATCCGAAACGAGTACTGTCATAACTCCTAACTCCTATCTGAATCAGAAAAGGATCAATCAGTAGTTTGTTTAGGTAAATATAATTAGTGTAGGTTCTTTTGACAAGAATGATATCATACCATTTAGTATGAGTAAAATGATAAGATTCAATCAAATGAAAAGCAGGGCGGTTGTGCAGCCTACTTAAATCATACAATTAATATGAACAATTTTTGTACAATGTGAAAATTTGACAGTTGTGTTACACTGTGAGGAAGAGGCACTTGTGTTGAATGCTTTTGTCCTTTTAGAGAGGGGGATAAATACTGGAGGCTTTAGACCAATTCATCATCATCAAAAGAGGAAGGAGATACTTATAAAGAAGTGGCAGTTAGATGGAAAAGTTACTTGATGGTGTCGATAAAGAAATTCGGGAAGAATTATTGAAGAAATAGCCTGTTCCTGAAGTTGTGGAGAATTCAAAAACCTCTTTTTTAAATCCTGAAATTGAATTATGTATTTCTAAAGAGGGACACTTACGAAAAGTACTAGATCTGTTTAAAAAAATATCTTTTTTACCGTTAACCAGCTGTCGCACCCCTACGAACGACAACTCTCAAAAGTCGAAACTTGTGTGAACTAAGGACTAACGAGGGCTTACCTTTTAACGTGTGATTCCTAACACGGGTTGGACGATAGCAAGTGAAAATCGATCGTTCAGCCTGGGGCTTGAACCAGCGACCAACACGGTGGTCGATTTGACTGAGTGAACAAAGCACCCACGTCGAACCGACCGGCTACCGGCTACCGTGAAGTGAGTAAAAATTATGCAGGTTCAGTGGAAAATTATTTGAATAAATGAACTGAAATGACCAGTTATATTTCAATATTGAATTGAGTTAAGGGCTAGTTATTCCCTTATCGAGAATTCCCTATCAATTACATAAGTCAGTGGTAAGCATATCCGAATCGAAAAAACACTTGAATGCGATAGGGCAATAAAATACATCGGCAAACAAAACTGAATTATGAGAAGTTAAAAATATCATTTATATATTATAATGAATAGCAGTGGCCCCAGTACTGAGCCTTGGGGGATCCCGTGCTTTACAAGTTCATATTGAGGTATTGAATTATTGCGGTTAACTGTCTGATACCGATTAGATAAAGATGTCTCAATGAGAGACAAAGATACCCCTCCGAAACCATAGTAGTAGGTATAAATTACCCAGTAGTATTTCATGAGAAAGCTACTACCCCATTTCGCACTATAGGATCTAAGTGTATGACGTTGTTATTGTTTGGCATAACTTGACTATTCATCGAATTGAAATATCCTCCACCATTTTGGTTTATTTTCAGAAAGAAGTTCAATAAACTGGTTACCCAGAACTTTCACCCAACACTCTGTTTTTCAGGATATTGGGTGTGAATTTGAGGTGCATCAATAGTATTCAGTATCAAACATTTTGAGGATTAACTTGCCCGAAGTTGCTTCCATCCAAGAAACATGTGATGTATGACAAAGCCAGATTAGGGTTGGAAAAGATCTAACACAATTCAACGACGACACATTTGTGTCGATGAAAAATTCTGAGAATGTTTGTGCAACTCACTCCTGAAGCTTTGACAACTTAGTCGTCAAATACTGCATATTTTCCATTAAGGCGACGTTGCCTACAACTGTATTAATGTATTCGTTATTGACTGTTCCTGAACGGCCATGTTGTCTGGCATTAACGTTACCAGTTTCCATGATTTTAGGTTACAATTCAGTTACATATTTATGTCCACCTCACAACTACAGCCTACGGCAATATATAAATAGACAAGTTCAGCTACCAAGCAGAACACATGTTCATGTGTAGGTAGCTGGAGCTGTTTCGTGGTAACTAGTGATATTTCTAACCCAAGGTGATCTGACCGAAACCAATAAGAGTGCAACTGACTTCTATTAATGACTCTGTGCATTTGTGTTGTTTCTGCAACCAAGTATAGCCTAACCTTGCACTTGGCTTCGCCCATGAGTTTTTCATGTTTTTGATTATACAGTGTGTCCGCAATGTATGGAATAAATTCGATATTCCAAAACCAAAGGTTATTTAACAAAAACCTGAAACACTTCGATTTTTAATTTCAATATTCTACATTTTGCAACAAAATTTCANATTAGAAAAATAATTAAAAAAAAGGTCTTCTTTCCAAAATACAGAAATATCATAAAATTCCATTTGTAGAAAATATATTTCATAAACTGGGAACAAATTAAAGTAGCCTTCTCGAATGAAAATACAGTTAGAAAGCATTTTTTCTCGAAAGAAAAAACAAAAACACCACAAGAAATAAAATCCAAAATTGTATAAAAATTGAATTGTGGAAGCCGTTATAAATGCTATATTGGTCCAA